TCAAATACACAAAAAAGAAATCCCAGAATTTGTATTCTGATAAGCAAATTGGAGCAATCTTTTCCAGTAAAATTTTTGTGCTCATCCTCAGGAGCTCTGCTTCAATGGCACAAACAGGCAGAAAGAAACCCGTTCTAACATAAGGATGCTTCTTCCTTTTCCAAACTGAAGGAATGAAGTTTTCAACATCATTTGCAATTTTTTTTACCTTTATCATTAAATGACATAATAGGTAACATAATATTTGTCTTTTTATAACATCAAACATATCTGGTGTATTTTAGTTATCAACACATTACTCTGCTACTTTGTATTTCAAAAATGCAGTGAAACGGTGCCAGAAGGGACAGATTTAGCAGCAGGACTTTATTGTTGTTTCAAGTCAACAAGCAATGGAATAAGACTTTTTCGAACACCCTGCCTTCACAAGAAAATCTTGTGTGCAGGCAGTGGGGGAATACCAAAGAACTATTCCTTACAGTGAAATCGCATTTGAAGCTACATAACTAACTGCAACTCTAAATACGACAAATTAAGCTCAGATTTCTAGGCAAAAACACAAATCTTTTCTTTTTTTTAGAATCTTGGCTGCTTGTTATTCACAACCGTTCCTACAACAGAAAGATTTACAATCGATTTGATTCTGTTTCTATAAGAAATACTCACATTCCTCTGCACTCTTGGCTTTTGGACCCAAGCAACATAACCATATTACCCCAGCTAGGTGCATGAAGCTAAAGTAAAGACTTCATTCATCAGTGAATTTCTCAAGAGGTTGTTTCCAGTGCATATGAGAAGCTTGGGTTCAAAAACCAAGAGCTGGTGAAAAACAGTGGAAAAGGACAAAAAGAAATGATGTCTTCTTCCTTTTTTTTTTCATTTGTAGATGCAATTACTATCAACTATTGGATTTGGACATCAGTATGGCTCTAAATTATCCTTGAGTGCTAAGGTATTAATGGAGCTCTGTGAGCTCACCCCTGTGTAGACACAGCTCTGGCAAACCACAGGCACCAGCAAGGCTGCTGGCACTCCTGACATGATCACAGCTGCTATCCATGATACTCCATCTTCCAGGAGTCTGAATAAGTATCCTTTCCACTACATGTCTACTTGCAGTGCTTGAAAAAGTCATTATAGACCGGCTGGAATTACAGCAGAAATAATGCAGCTATTTTCGACGAAGATCCACAGGAGTCTGGTAGAGGTTTTTATGATATGGTTTCTGGTATTACAGCTGACATTACATTTTTTACGTGGTGAGACAGAAGCCCTTTGGGAAAACAACTGCTCAGGTTAAGGCCTTGGCATGTCCACTTTGTTTTAATTTCTCTAGATGCAGGTCCCAAGCTTGCAGTAAGAGAGGGGTCCTTTCCTATCTGCTGCCAGGTTAAGATTTTCTCAGGCCCTAAAAGAGGTATGCCCATTTCTGAGTGAAGCTACCTATTGAAGAATATGATCTAGAGGGTAAAAAAACATGTGCAGTGGCAACAATAAGCTCTCAAAAAGAGCTGACATAAAGATTATTTTCCCATCCTCCTCAGCACTATCTCCAGCTTTGTGATGGAGCTACCATTATTTTCTTTCTTTTCTTCTCAGCCCTCTTTTTCCTTTTCTTTGGACATGTGGTTTTAGAACAGGACTGACTAGATAATGACATTTTCAGGTAGACAAAAGGACTCTTTTGTGCTTTGCAGCATGCACAATGTCCCAGGGAACAATGCAACAATATTTTTCATAGCCAATTTCAGCATTTCTATTTCCCTCCATTACCCTTTTCCCTTTTAGAGACTGTCAGAAACCATTCCACACACACAGAGTAATCACAAAGTTTCATATTTCTTTGTTGAGAGAAGGCATATTTGTTATAGAAACATATCCACAAGTGAGAACACCTAACTAAGCAAGCCAAAGCCATAATCAGTGAGGGCCCTTCCCGAAACAAGTTTCATGCTGTTGCCCAGTAGCAAATGCAAGGATAAAGCCAACCTACTCAGACATAGGGAAAAAAGCTACAGAGGATCTTATGAAATTGTTTGATCCTGACCTCTCAACTAAATCCACTTCTTAGGAAAGATCTAGGGGTAGTACAACAGATTATATTCTATTCAAGCGGAGTTTATTAATTTTTAATATGCAGTGTAAAGCTTATTGGATAACATGAAGAGAATAACAAAACTGTGAAATCAGTATCAAGCCATGCTTCCTCTAGTGTAACCTCTGGTTTTGTGAGCTGGCTTTGAAACTCAATAGGTACAAACATCACCTTCAGAGAGCCTTTCCACAGCCTACAGGCAACCCAGAAGAGCAAGAAATTACAGCTAGTTTGGGACTGCTGCCAACAGCCACCAAAATACAGTCAATATTTTTCACTTCAATGTTCATCACTACTGTGATACAATAGCATTAAATATAAACCAATAACTTATTGCTTAGGCAAAGCCTAAAGGCTTTATTTATTACCCCTCTTCCCAGGAACCAAATGTTTGGGGGATGTAAGTGTAACTGTCAATAAAGAAAGGCTTTATTTTCATTAAAGAAGGGTTTGGGAAATACTATCCATAAAAAAAACTGTTGGCTGCCCTTTGAATTTCTTAGATTCTAGGATATTACCAGAGAGAGTGTGGGCTAAACAATAAGGTAAAATTATAGTAATAAGAGGTTTGAGAAGCTACGAAATCTGCTGCAACACTGGAAAGCTATCGTTTTCTCTAAATGGTAGTGATCCTTTTTCCTTCTATCCAAATCCTTCTGAAGCTATGCTGTCTAAAGGATGTAATATTTACACAATTTATTCAATCACTTCAAATCACTTTTATTGTTATTATTATTAAAATATTTATGTAAAGTTGTTTTAGGAACTTATAAATGTCTTTGTCCACAAAGAATACCTGTAGTGTTTGGTTGAAAGCTATGGCAACTCTCTGGAGTTGCTCATAAACTGCATTTTTAGTCCCTTGAGAAGTTAAAATATCAAGTTATATGATAAAATCATGCCGCTTTATCGGAAGGATTGCCTTCTTTTTCAATAGGTTATTATGCATGAGAAGATACTTTTCTGAACACAAAATCACTTGATGGTACATAACAATATAAAGAATAGGGCAAAGGACACCCAATTGTTTTGCTTGTCACCATTTTCCTGGGAAAACCACAATTCCAAGGGCTTTTCACGACAGTTCCATCTGCTTACACACCACAAGCCCTGTGAGCCAGCGGGGAGGTGGCTTACAGCAGGAAGACAACACCAACCACACTACAGCTTTCTCCTCAGGTCCTGAGAACCAAAGCTCAAACCTGCAACTAACTGGGAGCTTCCTGTCAAAAAGGGTCTCTGATGAAAACCAGTTACTCCAAAGCCAACATTTTTTATGGAAGGCTTTCCCCACACACGTTTTCTCAGGTTTCTATCACAAATCCTGAAATAAATATGTACAGTTGCCTAATGTTACCTGATTCTGACTGCGCTGGTTTGCAGAAATGACCTGAAATACTCACATTCCAATGTATTTCCTATTGGGTTGTCTTGCCTCTTGGGGGCAGTGGATCAGAGGCCTGGATGCCTCTGCAAATCCCCCTCTCCCCTCTAAGCAGGACTCACGTATGTTTTGCTGGACTCAGGTCAATAAATCAGGAAACATCTGGATTTAGAAACGCCCTAGTTCTACTTGGAAATAAGATGGTGAAACAAAATGTTCCACTGCTTGCAAATAATTTTTCAATCACTTAAATTCCTTGAACACTTTTGATCCATCAACTTTTAGTGGGAACTGAAGCAAATACTACACACTTTCTACAGGACCATGGATACTTACAACATAAAGCTTCATGCTGCCAGAAGAGGATAATATAAGACTAACCATAAAGATATCCTTTCAAGGTTCTTGCGTTTTTTGCTATAATCTGCTAAAATTACACATTTCAGTACTTGGGGTTTTTACTACCTTGTGCACCTACTACTATAAAATCAGTTACTAACCTCAAGGAAGTAAGAGTTTCACTCTGTTTTCACTGTGTTTCAGTTGCTCTAGATATGGAAAAACGTTACACATAGACAGTACTTACACATACATATAGACACGCATCTACTCAAACACAAGACATATAGACACACTTCTGCAAAAAGAAAGAGCACAGATATATACCACACTTAGAAAGCATCCTCTTCCATCACAATATGCATATATAGAGGCAATTCTTGTAGGAATGCTACAATTCTTTATACATTACTCTCATAATGGAGGTTTTAAATTGTTCTCCTTTGATTTCTTCTTCAAATTTCCATCCACCTTTGTGGCTGCCCCTTCTGTGATCTGTGAGCACACCTTTGAACGGTGTATCACGTCCGCTATATTATAGTCAGTGAAGATAGATCAAACACTGCTCCTATCCATACCTGCTCTGAGGGACAGAGGCTCTTAAATGCAAAAGGGATCTTAAAACTCCCCAGGCTTGTGAGCATAGAGAAATCACCTGACAGCTTTGGACCTCACTGAAGGCAACGCAAGCCTCAAAGTGAGCCTTAGAATGTAAATTTGCCCATCAATACAATCATAAGTGATTAAATTAAACTGAACCGAATCTTTACCATTTCCTCATCTCTTTCAGAATTCAGAGAAAACAACAATATAGAATAGGCTTATACACAGTTGTCATTCCCTACAGCTCAGTGAAGGTTTAGTGCACACGTGCTTTAAAGCATGCCCTATTTAACACTTGTGACTACACAGCTGACCAAATTCCCCCCCAGAAAACATTTCCACAACCTCTTTTAGTCCCCTTGCAGAAATATACAGCAACGTTTTTCTTCTAGAGAAAAGCACAATACTCGGGTAGGGCTCTTTACCAACAGCTATCTTCTGCCCCTGCAGCTAGAAAAGTAACTCTCTACTTTAAACCAGAAGATTTGAACGATTTACAATTAACAAATATATGCACACACTGAAAAGCAAAAGGGTTTCAGCTCATTTACTGTAAAAAGATAATAAGCTGTGTCCTACCTATGGTGGTAATAACAGTGCCAGCAAAGAAGAAGGAACTTCCCAAGTCCCAGTGACTGATTTGAGTAGATGTGTTTCCTAAAGGTATGATTCCTGCATTTATTGCTGCCACTACTTGCTGCAAGTTGAAAGAGATTTGTGTCAATATTCATGAAACAATGATATCAATATACATTACACAGTAAATTGATTAAATCAACCATTGTATCCAAGCAATAAACCAGAAAAAGGATCAGCGTTGTCCTGCTCGAGTTTTATCATTGAGTCAGGCTAAAATTTAATCTTCAGCAGACATCCCCAAGCACTTCAGCATGCAGCAGAGCTGTAAATTCCAGACCATGAAGGAGAATGTAATACGCATCACCTTAGGTAGATGGCAAACACAATTAGTTTTACTGTTGCAACCATCTGGTGAAGAAAAATATGCATTATATAAAGATTTACAATGTGAGCTTCCCAAAACATTCATTCTATTGAGTTAGGCAAGGAAATACACTCTGTAAAACACTCATTTTAAAACACCATGAAAAAATGCCCATTCATTGCTTTGGATCAAAAGAACTCAAATGAATTAAAACACTTCTGTAGAACAGATAATTCAATAACTGAAGATTAATAATTACAGTTCTAGAAATTTCACTATATTAAGAAAAAAAAATCAGGGTCAAATATCAAACACGCACCTCGAAGTTTATACAACTGTTTAGTTCAGAAATGCTGCTCTTGAAAAACTCAGTTCTAGCAGCTACAATGCACAAACTTGACACTAGTGACATTTTCAGTCTCAAGGAATATGAATAATTTCCTATTTCATTCTTATCACATAAAGTATTCCTGGTTAGTTTTGTATCTATTGCAGAGAGACACCAGTGTTTGAGTTTAAAAATACTCTTTTCTTGATGTGCACTGTTTAACTTGGAATATTTTAAGGAATATAGGTTATCATTTAATTCTGAAACTCATATTTCAGAATCATGATCCTTATTATAATATTGATGTCTAACCAAAGAACAACAGGGCAATGCTGCAAAACTAAAATGAATGTTTTAACTGACAGTTTCAGCTTGAGGAGTTGTCCAACACTGATTATGCACATAAAGCTATTCAGCAAAAGAGCAGGCTAGGATGGTTTTCCGTGTGGGCAGTAGTTGCAGAACAGTGTCGCACAGTAGCGATATTTTTTCCAATCCCCAAAAACACTGGTGATTTGCAAATGAAAATGTTTTTGTTTCTAAACAGTGCCCATGGAAGTCAGTCGATCGGGACAGAAACGACAAAATGCCAATGCTGGATTAACCAGGTCATTGGTGTTTTGTGATGGGACCTCCACTTAAATCCACCATTTCCAGTTTGCCGTTTTCCAAGCTCAGATGCACAAAGTAGCCAGTTTGAAGTCCACAGCTGCATCCCCACAGCCACCTAGGTCATTTTCAACATCCAGGGCTGTCAGCAGAAAGCCAGCTGGGGGATCTCTACATAGACTTTACACTGTTTTATCTTCCTATGTTTTATCTTCCTGCGATTTATCTTCCTATACCTTCAACTGTTTCCATCTTAACTTTTTTTTTTTTTAATACCACAAAGGCAAACATCAAAGATGTGGAATTTTCAACCCCACTGAGGAAGGAGAAAGGATGCAGACAGGGAAGGGGAAGAGTTTCATTTTCCTTTGGGTTGTAAGAATAAAGTTTCTTCTATGTACATCATGCATAACCTGGCAACAGTAAGTACAGAAGCCCTCATACTGACAGGTATTTACCTTAGCCTAGGATGGGACACATCAGACCAAGCAGCGTATGAAAACCATCCCTTGTATTGTTTGTATAATTTACACAATTCAGATATTCCTTTGACTTTCAAACCCTAGTTTAAAGCTACAGTATAAAGCCTGCTGACTTCATTTTGAGTACTGTTTCGTTTCAGTGAACTAAGAACTTTCATCATAAGTCCTTGCACCTGCAAATAGTCCTTTCCAGTGAGGACATCATATGGTGAAGCACTGGATCGATATAATTTTATGAGACTCTTCATGTTTTATTACAGTTTATTGTAGCAGACAAATGCAGTACCCAGAGCAATGTATGTGTTTAGGCAGCCTAGAAAGACCAAGATTTATACAGGTCCATATGCAAAATGTTTTCAGAGCTTTATATCATCACTACACATTTTGGAAGCCATACTACCTCAGCATCTTTTATTTGAAAGGGGTGCCTAGCTAAACTGCTCAAAGATCCATCAGAGCTCTGCATTTCCTAACTGCAGTGCACTGTACCTACAGCCTTCCAGGGAAAATAAAAAGGTACAACTTAATCCCAAACTGCTCTGCTGGGTCAGCCTGAACGAAACACAACAGATGGCTATAAAAGACAATTAGCTGCTGTTGTCATGTCTCTGATTTTAGCCAACAGCTAATTAGGAAAAGAATCAGGCAAGTAGGCAAGGGATGTTTTCTCTTCATACATCCTAACTTCTGACTAAGCACAGCTTTAGGGACTTTCTGAGTGGGAGGCTGCATCTGCATCATGGTGTTCAGATTGCTTTGGGTGGATCATTTTACCATGAATTTATCTAACTGCTTCTGGAGCTCACTTGTATTTTGGGAGCCAAGTCATTCTGTAGCAGCAGGTTCTGCAATTTACTTGTGGATCATTTAAAAAGCATTTCCCTTTTGAGATTTTTGTGTGTTTCAAAGTAATTTTGTGAGTTCTCATGTTATGAGAAACACTTGAATAGCAATTTCTTATTTGTCTCCTTCAAGAAATTAATGCTCTTATACACCCATCAGCTGCCTCTTTCTTCTGAATTAAAGACTCTTTCTTATTAAATAATATATTTACCTATTTAAATAGATCTGTTGAATATGTATATAAGTAGTTTTTTATTGCCAGTATTTTTCATTGACTTTCTTTGTATCTTTGACTGTTTCACCTTATCGTTTCAAACGTAGTTTTAGTCATAAAGGGCCAGATGATGCCTTCTTCATCAGCAGGTTAGGAAGTTTCCGAACGCACATTATTATGGTGTGTGTTGTTACCATGTTTGGGAAGAGGTATAGCCTTAAGTACTATCAAAGCTGCTGCATTACATTCCTTTAGAGTCTTCTGTACTTAGTCCCTTACTAAGAAGGATGACAGTTAGGTAAGGTTGCTGGTTTCCTGAGATCAATGCTACTATCTCATAACATCTTTAAATGTTGCCTACAGGGTTTTTGGAAGAGGTAATTGCATATTCAGTTCTTTGGATCACAGGACAATCTTTTCTTCTTAGTTTGGTCAGTGCCTATGAGCAGATCTTCATCTAAGACTATTCCTTAGCATCATTTAAAAAGAAAATAATATATAACATAACTTCTAAAATGTGTACATTTCAGGGCTCTGATTTCAGGGTAGCATCTTCTTTCTGACTACATCCACTGCACAAACTTATCTGGAATACTGGATATTAATATTTCCTTAGTACAGAATAAACCCCCAGGCTCATGCAGCTGGTTTCCACTAACTTTACTAAAAGCCAGGATCTCAGTGTTCAAATAGCACAGCAGTCATTGTCAGTGCTGTTGGATTCAATATTCCCTACCACTTCATTCTTGGTCTTCAGCCTTTCTACTTAACTGATGCTTTACTACTAGAGCAAACACAACCACTTCATTTGTCACCAGTTTGGATGCTGCTCTTTCCTTCCTTCAGAACTTCATAACTTCACATCAGCCCTTCAGCTTATGCTAACTCATACAACAGCTATAGTAACTGTGCATTTTGAGCCTTGAAACAATTAGAATCATGAAAGCACTGTACAATCTCTACTTTTATCATATGTTGCATCCTGTAAACACTTTGTGTGATCTCAACATGGGAATTTCTTGACTTTTAGAGAATTACTTTACAGTATTAATGTTAACTGACTGCCCTAGTGGCAATATTTCTTGTTTTTCTTTTTATTCCATACACAAACTAAATTCTGACTTAAAAATCAGTTTCACTTCAGCACTGCAGAACCAGTCAGCATTAGAATAGGGATGTGGATGGTTTCAGTTCTTAAACTACATAGATTATTCCACTTGCCTTACCCCCTTCCAGAGCCTTTGTCTACTAGTTTTTTCATACAAGAAGGCTGAGGACTGAGCAGAGGAGGGGTCACCCAGCACATGGCACACAATCAAGGTCTCTATGTGCAATGGTTTTAAGCATAATAATATACGGTTACAGTAAAAGTAATGTTTTTCTTCTATAATTGTCTTTAGAATGGTGAAAATTTGGAGTTTTTTTTTGATAGTGAAAAGAACTGAGATAAAATGTTCAAATATTTAAATATTTTTGAAGTTCAGTCCCATTTTTTAAGTTACATGGATTTTTAGGTTAGCTCTGTACTATATCTTAGGATAGGCATGAGTTGTGTCTGTGTCTGAGTACAAGTCCTCACTTCTACTACATCCAGACTACACAGTTTTATATCCATATTCAGGAATTAGCTTTAGTAGAGCATCAAAGAGCAGGGACGTTTGAGCCCAGAGTGGATAGGCCAGTCATGACCTGCCTTGCTTTCCAAAACAGGACCTGAGCTCCAAAACCACATAAGCATTGTGTTTACACTGTAGTTCTTTTTGCTTGAAACCAGAACACTGGGAAAAGGACAATGAAAATAGAAAATCTCATTTGAATGGAATGTCAGGTTTTCATTTCCTATATAATTTAGAATCCCTTATGGCAAATCACACAGAGAGAATCGTTTGGGTTGGAAGGGACCTTCAAAGGTCATCTAGTCCAACCCTCTTGCAATGATCAGGGATCTTCAACAAGATCAGGTGCATTGCACAGTTTTGTGTTATCACATCCCTGCATTCACATAGATGTCTGTCCATTGAGGCCACACCAAGCTACCCTTGCAGATGAAGACATGGAATTTTGTGGCTTTTTTTTTATGTTAAAATGAGCTACAAACCAGCCACTCAGCACAGTCGTTTTGTGAAAACAGATGACAATCCTCCTTGGTCAGAGATTGCAGCCTCTGGTCCTCTGATCCTGCAAGGAGTCAATGGAGAGAACTTGACAAAAGCCATAGAGCTACATCCACTAAGCAAGGGGAAATATATGGAGAGGTTACAAACTGAGAGGGCTAGCC